TAGCTACTCCTAATGTGAACAAAAAATAGAGAGTAAATAAAATTTCAGGCTTCAGTTGGAGACGTTAGAAGTATAAAGTTGAAGTAGACCTGAGAAGGAACCGGAAACCCTTTTCTAAACAGGAAACAAGTGATAAAACATGACTCCTGTTCAAAAGACCGCTGGAGAAAGCCTACGGGACTATAGGCGAACCTATCTACTCCTACTGAGGAAAATATATAAATAAATAGGGAACAAAATTAGTTTGGGCAGAGACTTTAGAACTACAGTGTTGTAGTTGACCTTAGAAGGAAACGGAAAACCATCCTATACAGGAAATAATCCATAACCCCTATTCCTGTTCAAATGACCGGGTATAAGTGTGCATAGGCAAACCTATCTACTCCTGTTGGGATCTAAAAATAGATAGTACATACAATTTCAGTCAAAGACGTTAGAAGTATAAAGTTGAAATAGAGAGGGAACCGGAAACCCAGTCCTAAACAGGAAACAAGTGATAAATCTCAACTCCTGTTCAAAAGACCGTGGGGACCAGACGATAGACGAATATATATATATATATATATATATATATATATATATATATATATATATATATAATGTTTTATAGTATATATTTTTAGTGTTGTCCGCCTAATACAAGGTACAAGAACAAAAAGTAAAAAAATAAAAGCGTGTCAAAAGAACAGTTTGTATAAAAAGGAAAAACTTTATCAGCAAGATTTATTGTTTTAAAAAGCTATGTTTCAGCATTTTAATAAAAACCCAAACATGAAACTGGATTTATGAATTTTCTTTCTTTCCCAAGAATTGACAACAAACATAATGAACACTATTTGTTTATTAGATCGTTACTTCACATATATTCAGTGAAATGGCATACGTGATACACGCTTGGGCGATCATTGTCTTTTTCGATTCATGACTGGCAAGGGAGAAGAGTTTCCCGCTGTAGTCTGGCGTTTATTTCTGCGTCTATCCTGCTATTCAACCATTGGCTGGTGGAGAAGAGATGGATTCATAACTTTCCCGTGTGTATCTGTGCGTAAGGAAACGTAACGAGCCAGATTGGAATTCGAACTCCGATCTCAGATTTCTCATTCCCAGCCGATATCCACCGGGCCATATAAAAAAGCAAGAGAAATAAGATGAAAGAAATACTAGTCAAAAATGAATAATAATTGACAAGGCTTCATCTAAGAATTTCAGACAACTTAAGACTATTACTACTTGGTGGAAAAGCAAGAGAAATAAGATGAAAGAAATACTAGTCAAAAATGAATAATAATTGACAAGGCTTCATCTAAGAATTTCAGACAACTTAAGACTATTACTACTTGGTGGAAAAGCAAGAGAAATAAGATGAAAGAAATACTAGTCAATAATGAATAATAATTGCTAAGGCTTCAACTAAGAAATTCAGACAACCTAAGACTATTACTGCTTGGTGGAAAAGCAAGAGAAATAAGATGAAAGAAATACTATTCAAAAATGAATAGTAATTGACAAGGCTTCATCTAAGAAATTCAGACAACTTAAAAATATTACCACTTGGTGGAAAAGCAAGAAAAATAATTTGAAATAAACACAATAAAATAGTTTTAAATGATTGAGAATGCTTTATCTAAGATATTCAGATATCCTCGCCACACCAGAATAAATTTAATGTTTTAACGTTGCGTCAAACAAACATTTACATGATTATAAAAATTATTCCCGCTGGAAATACTGGTCCTCGTTCTATAACCGAAGTTAGGCAACATCGAACCTGCTCAGTACCTAGATGGATGACTGCTTGGGAACATCGAGTTTCTGCAAGCACCCTCCTAAAATCCGAAACACGTTTCGGCTTTAAATAGCCCACAAAGGATTGATAAGCCGTAAAAGATATCAAATAATCCCAATCAAGCAGTATTTATTATTTACCATCAACATTAGATGCTGTATTTATTATTTAACATCAACATCAGTTTGTCTGGAAAAAGTTCGATTCAGTGGTAGATTTAATTGTAGGTGTTCAACCATTAAACTCAGAAAATAGTTAACTTCCAAGAAATCTTAGTTGGTTTTATCCACGCACATTTTTTCTGATATATTCGATTATTGATTCTGTTTGTCGGGTACCAAATACGTTTTGGGTATAACGAGAAAGTACATCAGGCAGCAAAGCCTCTGATCGAGAGATTAAAGGATTTGAGGAACATGATACAATCTCTTAATTGCTTTTCTTCTCACGTCAGACATAACTCGGGGTGGTAGCACCTGTTGGGGTCTCAGCTATGAGCACCGAAGAAACATCGACTGTACATTTTTATAGTAAAATGACCAACAATACATTTTTATAATAAAATGATCAACAATACGTTTTTATAGTAAAATGACCAATAAAACATTTTATAGTAAAATGACCAACAATAGATTTTATAGTAAAATGACCAACAATATATATTTATAGTAAAATGACCAATAATACATTTTATAGTAAAATGACCAACAATATATATTTATAGTAAAATGACCAACAACAGATTTTATAGTAAAATGACCAACAATGCAGTTTTATAGTAAAATGACCAACGATACATTTTTATAGTAAAATGACCAACAATAAATTTCATTGTAAAATGACCAACAATACATTTTTATAGTAAAAATACTAACAATACATTTTTATAGTAAAATGACCAACAATACATTTTTATAGTAAAATGACCAACAATACATTTTTATAATAAAATAATCAACAATACGTTTTTATAGTAAAATGACCAATAATACATTTTATAGTAAAATGACTAACAATATATATTTATAGTAAAATGACCAACAACAGATTTTATAGTAAAATGACCAACAATACATTTTTATAATAAAATGATCAACAACAGATTTTATAGTAAAATGACCAACACAATACGTTTTTATAGTAAAATGACCAATAATACATTTTATAGTAAAATGACCAACAATATATTTTATAGTAAAATGACCAACAATACATTTTTATAGTAAAATGACCAACAATGCAGTTTTATAGTAAAATGACCAACGATACATTTTTATAGTAAAATGACCAACAATACATTTTTATAGTAAAATGACCAACAATACATTTTATGATAAAATGACCAACAATATATTGTATAGTAAAATAGTCAACGATACATTTTTATAGTAAATTGACCAACAATACATTTTTGTAATGAAATGACCAAGAATACATTGTATAGTAAAATGACAAACAATACATTTTATAGTAAAATGACGAATACATATTTATAGTAAAATGACCATCAATGCATTTTTATAGTAAAATGACCAACAATACATTTTTATACTAAAATGACCAACGATACATTTTATAGATGTATAGACTATTATCCTCATCTTTTTCGCCATATATATATTACAACGTTTCGGCCGTTGTACTCTCCGGCCTTCTTCAAGTGTTTGGATTGTCGAACTGAACCCTTTATTTCGCTCACTGGGGTAGACTGTTCTAGTTCCACGTGCCATGTCTAATGGATGTTAGTTATCAGTTATCTCCTGTCCAAGTTGTCCACCGCCTTAACCGGGTATTGAACTCACACCATTTGGGTCCTGTCACTGGATCTAACCAACGCCTTTATCCACTCTGTCATGTGTCCTTGAGGACAGTGAGCGAAAGAAAGTGTTCAATTCGACATTCCAACCTCCTGAAGAAGGCCGGAGCGTACAACGGCCGAAACGTTGTAATAGATATGGCGACAAAGATGAGAACAATAGTCCGAATAATGTAAATAGTGTACATAATACCTCATCTCAGAAATATAGACAGATACTGAAGGGCCGAAACGTCGTAATAAATATGGTGACATGTTGTATCCGGGCCAGAACAGACAAGAGCAGAATTGTCAAAGGAAATATTTTTAACAAAAATTGGCTCAAAACTCAAAAATTTAAATGGAATTTCAACTGCTATCTACTGTCTTTCTGATTACACTTCTTAGCAATATTTCTGTTTCTAACTCTTCCACGATTGACAACAATAATGATTTTTCTAGATACAAATAATACTATTTAACCCATGCCTTGGGGGTTGTTTATTGATTAATATTTTTACGGCCTATCAACACTTTGCCGGTTATTTAAATCTGAAACATATTTTGGATTGTAAGAATTTTTTTCGAGTGACTGTTGCATTAACAATATTTTTTTAGTATAACAATTTTTCCAGATACAAGTCCTGCTATTTAACCCATAACTGGGGGAGGAGATATATTCATACATTTACTAAGGATATTTGCGCGTAAACCAATATATCGAACCCGATTGGAATTCGAACACTGCTCTCTGATGTCTCATTCCGAACAATGTCAGCACGTTGTGGCCGTGTTCATAAATAATATTATTGAAAGTTGAATTCTTCTTTTAGGTAGCTACTACTGGACTGTGTGACCTCAATAAGATCATCGATACAGTTGACAATGGAGAGAGAAAAGAACAGTGAACTCGTCTTCTTGGACATACTTATATCTTAAACAGAGCATCAAACAGAGTTCAAGACATCCGTATACGACAAGGCAACATTCGTCGGACAATACCTCAACTTTGGCTCACACCATCCATACAGTGTGAAGAAAGGGGTCGTCCGTTGCTTGTAACATCGTGCAAAAGTCCTAAGTGGCGAGTTAGAGACATATTAACAAGAAATGCTCAGTATAAGCAATACCCTACAACGTAACAACGTACCCTGGGTACATGGCAGCAGCTTCGACTCCCTTCCTACTTGATGCTTCTCAGTCAATGCCATATAATATCAATCGCTATCCACTTTCTTTCTCATTACTCATCTTTTTATATTTTTGTTTCTAATTCTTCCACGTCCAGTGTCCCCTTGTGTTTTAGTGGCTCTACTTGGGTTGAACTCGATATATATATATATATATATATATATATATATATATATATATATATATATATATTTGACGAATAAAACATATGGGATCATATTAAATATAAGATACAACAATATCCACGTTCACGTTTAAAACATAAAATGTAAAAGGTACCTTTCGACCGACACATTTTCAAACACAATCGTCGGTAATCTAAAACAGAGTACTAACAAGAAAAAACTTTTTTTTTATGAATACCGTAAAAAAACAAGATGGTAAGTGGGGGGGAATTATTTTACCTCAAATCATGTAACCGTTCCCCCAAATAAGGCCAACTTAAACTTCATCTCCCGTTGTACGCAGAGGGCCGGCCTGCGTATGTTGATAATAACAGACTCCAAAATGTCGAAGTGGAGTCTGTTCCTAGCCCTGTGCAATACCGAAAAGAAATGGGGAGAATACTCGGTCTTGATTAGATTTGGCAGTACGAGAAATCTGTTTAAATATATATATATATATATATATATATATATATATATATATATGCATGTTTCATAAAATAATATAGACAAGTTTTGTCTATTTATTTTAAGTAAGTTCATTTCATGTTGTCTGATATGCTTAATAACATTATTGCTGAAAGATGAAAGGAAAGCACCATATTGATATAGGGTTAAATCTAAGCTTTCGGCTTACATAAACCATTATGAAAGATGACAATTTCAATATATCAAGCAACACACGGACGAAACAACAATGATAGTCCGCCCTTGCTGCCTGAAAAATTTCAAAGCAACGACAAACTCGTGTATAGGAGACATGGAAGCGAAAATCGCGTCGCAGCTCGTGACGTCACACATGACCACGCGAGAGTGAAAACGGGAAGTATAAAGTATGGGAAACCGTTGGTACAAACCAATGGTGTCTATTATAAATTATAGGCATTTAAGAATATTTGTGGAGATTTCATAGTTTATTTTGTTCAGGTTAGGTTTCAACTGTTTTATGTATATAGTTTCAAGAATTTTTAGTTTTTGTTTATTGTTTTCATGTTTAAGTATAGTTGTGTTTTCAACGAGGATTTTCCGGAATTGTGTACGTGGACAGGCATGTTGTTTTAAATGCCTAAAAATGTAAATAGACAAAACGTGTCTATATTATTTAGTGAAACATGCATTAATGAAAAATTGCTGCCTATACACATACATACACACACACACACACACACATATATATATATATATATATATATATATATATATATATATATATCGTTTGAACCGGCTTAAATGCTCCAGTAGGAGCGGCTTGGTATGAGTAGTCGTGGCTCCAGGGGGCACAGTCCTATGGTTACAGAGAACTCAGTAGAGTTCCGCCACGGAATATGTGAGCGAGCGGCGCTAAGTTGAGTCTGATTTGGAATATCTTCGTCGCCGAGGCCCATTTGGAACAGTTGGTATGATGCTTGCTTAACAACCTAACTGTTCGGGTTTCAATTCTCGGTAGTGGATGCGCACTGCTGATGAGTCCCAAATATAGGACGAAACGGCCGTCCAGTGCTTTTTTGCATTCTGTTGAAGTTTCTATAAGACTCGATGAATTAATTAAATATAATTATATATATATATATATATATATATATATATATATATATATATATATATATATATATATATATATATATATATATATAAAGAGAGAGGAAATAAAATCTCTGTTCTTTTTCCCCAGATAGGATAGCAAGAATTCCTTAAATGTGGCCTATATACGCCATGGAGTCCCCTTTGGCGAAATGTTGTTTCGTGTTTGGAACAATGGCAATGAACAAGAAGCGGCTACATAATGGCCGTTTTCGACTACCGTTGAAAGAGTAAAAAAAAAAAACATAAAAAGAAAAATGGAAAACACGAGGAGGAATGGTTGTTAACCCCTTTACGAACAAAAGATCTCAGGTATGAAAATAAACTTCCCGCGATGTCTGGACAATAGCTAGCGTGTTTAATTCCCTCCTACTAAAACTTCAGATGGAAATCGCCGGACAGGAACAAACAGTCACTCCTACATAAATGACAACGGACTGTGAAGTCGGGTGTAAATCTCACGGGTAAAGCATAGAAAGAAAAACCGCAAGTTCTTGAGTAATATCCCCAATGATGTGTGTTTGTCACAGTCATTAAAAAAATGTCGTCTTTGAATCAGAACTCTGTTCACAGACGAAGAATAGAAAATGGCACAAACTGCTAAAGTTCACCTAAGCGGTTCTAAAATAGAAATTTTATGAAAGGCAACAAATTAATTCGGCAGTTATTGAGTTGGAGTCTCAGATGTGGATCCCAGTATAAGCCCATCTATCTATCTGTACATATGTATGTATGTGACTATCTGTGCCATAGCTATCTATCTATCTATCTATCTATCTATCTATCAAAGTCTGTTCATATCTATCTATCTATCTATCTATCTATCTATCTATCTATCTATCTATTACAGTCTCTTAATATCTATCTATTACAGTCTCTTCATATCTATCTATCTATCACAGTCTCTCTCTGTGTGTCTGTATATATATATATATATATATATATATATATATATATATATATATATATATATATAATTGTACTTGGTTAGTAAAATACTCGGATGGCACAATTTGCAAGTATATCAAAACAAACTGGTATCCGAGAAAAAATTGGAAAAAAAGATCTAGAAACATCTGAACAGTTCGAAATATATATATATATATATATATATATATATATATATATATATATATAGATAGATAGATAGATAGATAGATATATATATGTGTGTATGTGTGCATCTCAGTATATAGCTATCTATCTGTGGATCTGAATATATTCTTTGTCTATATATCTATCAATTCTCAACTTATTCATATCTATCTATCTCTCTCTCTCTATATATATATATATATCTATATATATATATATATATATATATATATATATATATATATATATATATATAAAGAAAGAACAGTAAGATATATAGTCCGGTGTTCTTATTGATATTTTTATTTTTACAAAACAGTGCTCAATATAAATTTATAGAGCATAAATATTATAAATTAACTGATTTAAAATATATGTTTCCTTCGCTACACAGGGATTATCATGTTTCAAAAACCGAATCTAAAAAAATCAAATTCAATTATATATATATATATATATATATATATATATATATATATATATATATATATATATATATATATATATAGTAAAGGTAATACATCCGATGGTATATGATCCAAGTGGATCCGAGTAACAATATATTAAAACTGATCCACAAAAAGAGCTCAATATATTTATTATAACAGAGCCAAGAAATAGTAGTACACAACAAACCAAAAATTACCTCATATGGGGGATCTATTTCAACTGATCAAAATTTCGTCAGTCTTATTCAACCCCGGTGTATAGACTGAGTTCACGTCGCAATTAGAAAATTTAACTGTCGAAAAATTAATACAGAATTATCCATTTGAATTCTTGAGTCAGACGAAAAGCACGAGACAATGGTCAGGGGAGGGTGGAAGATATTAGCCTTAAAGGGAAGAGGTTTTGTAACATTAAACCCGGATATTAACCTTATGACATTAAATTGGGGTTATATGAATTATGAAGTGTTAATTTGAAACTAAAAGAGGACTGAAAAAGGGGTTTTATGAAAAAAAAGCATATCGATAAGGTTAGCTTTAAAAATACAGATTCCTACTTCAAAATACTCTTCCAAAGATAAATTATTCTTAAAATAAAGTCTAAATAAATAGTCAAGAAGGCTTCTACTGTATGAAAATAGAACTTTAAATTCGTTTATTCTGTTCTTATTGGCATAAAAATACCTTTGCACCATACAGGCATTAGATTCTTAGAAATAGATGAAAAATATTTAAAGTTGATGGGTGGACGAAAAATGTCGTCGTCGACTGTAGATATGTAAATAAATAGATATGTCTGAGAATGTTATCTATCTATCTATCTGAGTATGTCGATCTATCTATCTATCTATCTATCTATCTATCTATCTATCTATCTCAGTCTGTTTATCTATCTATCTATTTATCTATCAATCATAGTCTGTTTATATCTATCTATCTATGCTGATCTATCTGAGTATATCTATATATTTATGCTGATCTATCTATCTATCTATCTATCTATCTATCTATGCTGAGTATATCTATCTATCTATCTATCTATCTATCTATGCTGATCTATCTGAATCTATCTATCTATCTATCTATCTATCTATCTATCTATCTCTCTATCTATCTCCGTCTGTTCATCTATCTATCTATGCTGATCTATCTATCTATCTATCTATCTATCTATCTATCTATCTATCTCCGTCTGTTCATCTATCTATCTATGCTGATCTATCTATCTATCTATCTATCTATCTATCTATCTATCTATCTATCTCCGTCTGTTCATCTATCTATCTATCTATCTATCTATCTATCTATCTATCTATCTATCTATCTAAGTTGGTTCATAGCTTTCTATCTATCTATCTATCTATATCTATCTATCTATCTATTATCTGTCTGTCTGACTATCTATCTATCTCCGTCTGTTCATCTATCTATCCTTGTTTTTATCTATCTATCTATTTCAATATGGCCGCTTCTATCTCGCTAGCTGAAAATATGTGATATTTTAAAAAAATGTCAATATTGTCTGTCGAGGAAGTAGGATTGATAGTTAACCTCTACAGGGATGGAATCAGCAATCCGGGTTAAAATTTTAGTTGAGATAAGGTATGTTCACTTTGTAATTATTTAGGAAAGGTATTGATCTACGTCAATTTCTCTAGTCTTTGTGAGTGCAACCAATCTAGGAGAAGGACTACAGAAAACTGTAGAAAAGTCAATTGGTAATCACTACACCACCTTTTCCAAGAACATTCACAGTAATGCATGCTGTAGTGGCTCACCCCACATAGACTTTGCACTTATATCTGACCATAAAAGAAGACCAGTTAACTAAGGTCAGACCGTGTGAAACCAGTGATCCTCAAATGGTGCGCCTGGGCGCACTGTTGCGCCCTGGAAGATGTCTAGGTGCGCCCTGCCATTTCCAGGGAAATATGTGTCCAGATATAAGAAATAAATATATTTAATATATTCTATTGCGATGCTCGTCTCGTTCCTATTTATTTGAATTAGGACTTTCTGCTCTCACCACAATTAAGTGCAAATAAAGAGGAACTCTTCAATGTAATGAGGAGGAAATAAGAGTTTGCCTATCAAATATACGCCCAAACATTGAAGACTCACCAGGCTCATGTTTCTCTTAAAAACAGGAATGAATAAACTTAAGCTGTGCTTCAATTTATACATATATACTAGCAGGAAGGCCCGGCGTTGCCTGTGCTTGATTCAAAAATTGTACGACTCATACAGCAATAGCTATCACTTGACTTAAAAATTTTTTGCCCTTCCTTGCTTTTTTAAAGGAGTGCCCTTGCCGTGCTGATGTTGCTACATGCCTTACTTCTTGTTTATCTCACACTGCGAATTTTTTCTAAGCTCTATACTAAACATTAAATCTGTTACGAAAAAAGAATTAAACAAAATGAACACAAAACGATCAGCTTTAAAAAAGGACTCGTAACTGGAAAAACCGAATGAAAAAAGAATGTTAACAACAAATACTTTTTCACACCCAACCCATTTCTGCGGAATCAGAATCAACGTTGAGTTTAAGCAAGCGAATGAGCCAATTGGAGTAAAGTGCCATGCAGATTTAAATTTTTCCCACTTGTGACGAATGCAGCTATCGACTTTTTTTGCATGCTAGCATGCTAGTTTACATTCGTGTCAGTCAGCTGTTGGTTCTCACGCTGATCAATAGAATCTTCCTGCCTATTCGTGGCAGCCAGCTATAGGCTCTCACTCCGGCCAGTAGAAAATCGCCGCAAACTACATGAAAAGTGCCGTAGAATCATGAAAAAATCGATTATTTCCACTATCGATGGGAGTTGGGAAATGCAAAGTCGGTCTTGGCCTTCCCGCTAACTTGGAGCATGTGCATGGAAATTTTGGTGCAAATCCGTCGAAAATTGCGGCCGTGCATTCGTTACACACACACACACACACACACACACACACACACATACACACACACACACACACACATATATATACACACACACACATCCTACCTTTTATAGATAGAGATATTTTAATTGTATTATTTCTTTTCTGCAATATTTGACTTCATTATAACATATTTTTTCCGAAATTTGTATATAGTGTGCCTACAAAAGGTTGGAGAATCACTGGTTTAAACAATTGTCTGTGTTTGCATCGACATGAGACCTTGTGATCGATCCACCTGAGCCTGGGTTCAGCACGTGTATACAACCGTAATAACACGCACACACACACACACACACACACATATATATATATATATATATATATATATATATATATATATATATATATATATATATATATATATATATATATTGATGCATGTTTCATTAAATCATATAGACAATTATAATTCCAAGTGTTGATAGTTTTGTGGGCTGCTGGATCATGCAATTTAAATTGTGTGTATTTAGGCAGCTTTTTTTCATTGATACATGCTTCATGAAATAATATAGATAAGTTTTGTCTATTTATTTTATGCAAATTCTTTTCATATCGTCTGATAAACTTAATAACATTATCATTAAACGAAGAAAGAAAATCACAATATTCATACATATTTTTTAATCCTATCTATCCTTTCGGCTTATATGAGCCATTATCAAAGATGGCAATTACATTACTATATATTAAGCAATACACGGACAAGACAGTGATGATAGTCTTTTTCTGTTTACATGGAAGATTTCCAAGCAACGATAAACTCGTGTATATAAGACGCTAGAAGCGAAAATCACACCACAGCTCATGACTTCAAATATGACCTCCCTTGGCTATTTCAATTTGCCTTTTCACAAGGCTACATTTATAATTCCAAGTGTTAATAGTTTGGTGGGCTATTTGATCATGTAATTTAAATTGTGCGTAAAGACCAACAAAGGGCAGGAAATTGTGGAGAGCCATGATCGCCAATGTTCAAAAGAGACACGGTTCATAGAAGAATTCAAAGAAAATGAAGGCCTGGAAAGACGTCTTCGGAAATTTTCTGAAGCGGTTTCAGTAAAAGTAAATAATACTGGAAGCTGTTACCTAGTCAGATACCATGTAAATGCTCTGTTTATAATAAACAGTATTAACAACATTTACTGGCCTGAATGTCCGAAAATTGTCATAGAAAATATGCGTCCTCCGACAGGAATCGAACCTGTATCCTAGACGGAACCGTCATATAGCCTGACGTGCTTTTACCGATTGAGCCACAGAGGAGCGTTTCGGTTAGCAAGGTAGATTTTACTGTTTTTAAACTACAATTTTCCATGTTTTTCTCACGTACAGTCATATCTGCTCGATGCGTATTCTAATGTAAACAAATGACGTCACACATTATGAAATGGACAAAGTTCGACAATTATTTTAAGACATGCGTTCTTTTTATCGGTAGAAGTATTTAAGTAAATGCTCTGTTTATAATAAACAGTAGTAACAACATTTACCAGCCAGAATGCCTGAGAAATTGTCATAGAAAATATACGTCCCCCGACAGGAATCGAACCTGTAATCCCAAAGGGAAACATCATTTGATCTGACGTGCTATTAACCATTCGCCTACAAAAATGCGAAGTCGGAATTTCTTTTTATAAACACACACCTTCGACAATTTTTCTCGATCGATCATATCTACTTACGAAACATAACTTAACGTAAACAATGATAACATATTATGAAATGGATTAAATCCGACAATTCTAAAATTAATTCCTGTCGGAGAAGCACATATTTTCTACAACATTTCTCGAACATTCAGGCCAGTAATTGTAATTAATACTGTTTAATTAAAAAAAAAAATAAACAGCACATTTACTTAAATAAATCATATCTGTAAAAATAACGTATAAACGCTAAATATCTTAAAATAATTGTCGAAATTAACGCATTGCATAATATATATATATATATATATATATATATAGGTCTAAGAGAAGGACAACTCTGAATTCAAAATCTGCGGAGGGTCGTTTGGGGATCTTGTGGCACGTAGAGCACCAGGTCTCTGTATTCGGCCCTTCAAAAAAGTGTGGATGGTCCTGCACGAAACCTTCACCACTATAATCACATCTCATGTGCTAGTGTCGAGCTGTCAGTTTCTTTGAAACTGATCAGCTTGACTCTCATACGTCGAATTCGACGGGAGAGTATATATATATATATATATATATATATATATATATATATATATATATATATATATATATTATTATTATTATTATTATTATTAATATTAACATTATTATTGTTAATGAAATAAATTCTTTTTACCTTATAAGGGAAACAGGTTATTTCGGCAGACAACTTTTCAAGAAGTACAACGATTTTATAGTAGAAAAAGAAAGAAAAAGATTGAAAACAGTACCAGTAACTTATAGGAGATAAAGAAAGAGCTATTAATGAATAAAAGTACAACGATTTTTTAGGAGAAAAAAAAATAAAACGAATGTAAAAAGTACCACTAATTCATAGGAGATAAAGCAAGCGAGATTAACGAATAAAAGTACAACGATTTTGTAGGAGAAAAAGAAATTAAAAAGAATGAAAAAGTACCACTAATTTATAGGAAATATTGAAAGAGAGACGAATGAATAAAAGTACAAAGATTTTATAAGAGAAAAAGAAATAAAAAAAATGCAAAAGTACCACCAATTTATAGGAGACAAAGAAAGAGAGATTAATGAATAAAAGAGATTAATGAAAAAAAGTACGATTTTGTAAAACAAGCGAGATTAATGAAGAAAGAAAAAGAAATAAAAAAAATGCAAAAGTACCACCAATTTATAGGAGACAAAGAAAGAGAGATTAATGAATAAAAGTACGATTTTGTACGAGAAAAAGAAATAAAACGAATGAAAAAAGTACCACTAATTTATAGGGGATAAAACAAGCGAGATTAATGAATAAAAGTACGATTTTGTACGAGAAAAAGAAATAAAACGAATGAAAAAAGTACCACTAATTTATAGGGGATAAAACAAGCGAGATTAATGAATAAAAGTACGATTTTATAGAAGAAAAAAAGAAAAGATGAAAAATTTACCAGTAATTTATAGGTGATAAAGAAACAAAGAAGAATAAATGAAATTAGCGGAAATTTGTTGGACAAAAAATGAAATATGAATAAATATAGCACCAGGAATTTATTGGACAAAAAAACTTCCTTTTTAATTTTCTCTTATAAATTCTTTATACTTCTATTCATTATTCTGTCTTTCATTTTTTTTTCCAATAAATTTCTGGAAATTTTATTCATCTTTCTTTTTCTTCCTCCCAATTCTTTTTACTTTTTTTTTTCTCCCTTATTGTCCAATAAATTCCTGGTGTTTTTCTTCTTCCGTCTTTCTTTCTTTCTTTATCTCCTATAAAAACTTTTCTTCATCCTTTTTTCATTCACTTCTTTGACGGTCCAGTTGACGAAATATTTCCTATTCAACCAAGCCAGCGTGAGAACTTCCATGCAACAAGGGACCATATTGTATGCTGAGGGGAGAT